AATGAGAAAACGGCCTTACTACAAACACGACACCAGTTAAAACGGCCTAACTACAAATGCGACACAAGTTAAAACGGCCTTACTACAAATACGGCACCAGTTAAAACAGCTTCAATGAGAAAACGGCCTCACTACAAACACGTCACTAGTTAAAACAGCCTCAATGAGAAAACGGCCCTACTACAAACACGTCACTAGTTAAAACAGTCTCAATGAGAAAACGGCCCTACTACAAACACGTCAGCCTCAATGAGAAAACGGCCCTACTACAAACACGTCACTAGTTAAAACAGACTCAATGAGAAAACGGCCTCACTACAAACACGTCACTAGTTAAAACAGCCTCAATGAGAAAACGGCCTCACTACAAACACGTCACTAGTTAAAACAGCTTCAATGAGAAAACGGCCCTGCTACAAACACGTCACTAGTTAAAACAGTCTCAATGAGAAAACGGCCTCACTACAAACACGTCACTAGTTAAAACAGCCTCAATGAGAAAACGGCCTCACTACAAACACGTCACTAGTTAAAACAACCTCAATGAGAAAACGGCCTCACTACAAACACGTCACTAGTTAAAACAGTCTCAATGAGAAAACAGCCTCACTACAAACACGTCACTAGTTAAAACAGCCTCAATGAGAAAACGGCCCTACTACAAACACGTCACTAGTTAAAACAGTCTCAATGAGAAAACGGCCTCACTACAAACACGTCACTAGTTAAAACAGCCTCAATGAGAAAACGGCCTCACTACAAACACGTCACTAGTTAAAACAGCCTCAATGAGAAAACGGCCTCACTACAAACACGTCACTAGTTAAAACAGCCTCAATGAGAAAACGGCCTCACTACAAACACGTCACTAGTTAAAACAGCCTCAATGAGAAAACGGCCTCACTACAAACACGTCACTAGTTAAAACAGTCTCAATGAGAAAACGGCCTCACTACAAACACGTCACTAGTTAAAACAACCTCAATGAGAAAACGGCCTCACTACAAACACGTCACTAGTTAAAACAGCCTCAATGAGAAAACGGCCTCACTACAAACACGTCACTAGTTAAAACAGCCTCAATGAGAAAACGGCCCTACTACAAACACGTCACTAGTTAAAACAGCCTCAATGAGAAAACGGCCCTCACTAGTTAAATCACTAAAACACGTCACTAGTTAAAACAGCCTCAATGAGAAAACGGCCCTCAAACACGTCACTAAAACAAACAAACACGTCACTAGTCAATGAGAAAACGGCCTAAAACACGTCACTAGTTAAAACAAATGAGAAAACGGCCTCACTACAAACACGTCACTAGTTAAAACAGCCTAAATGAGAAAACGGCCTCACTACACAAACACGTCACTAGTTAAAACAGCCTCAATGAGAAAACGGCCTCACTACAAACACGTCACTAGTTAAAACAGCTCAATGAGAAAACGGCCTTACAAACACGTCACTAGTTAAAACAGCCTCAATGAGAAAACGTCCCTACTACAAACACGTCACTAGTTAAAACAGCCTCAATGAGAAAACGGCCTCACTACAAACACGTCACTAGTTAAAACAGTTAAAACAGCCAATGAGAAAACGGCCTCAAAACAGCCTCAATGAGAAAACGGCCCTACAAACACGTCACTAGTTAAAACACCTCAATGAGAAAATGAGAAAACGGCCTACTACAAACACGTCACTAGTTAAAACATCCTCAATGAGAAAACGGCCTCACTACAAACACGTCACTAGTTAAAACAGCCTCAATGAGAAAACGGCCTCACTACAAACACGTCACTAGTTAAAACAGCCTCAATGAGAAAACGGCCTCACTACAAACACGTCACTAGTTAAAACAGTCTCAATGAGAAAACGGCCTCACTACAAACACGTCACTAGTTAAAACAGACTCAATGAGAAAACGGCCTCACTACAAACACGTCACTAGTTAAAACAGCCTCAATGAGAAAACGGCCATACTACAAACACGTCACTAGTTAAAACAGCCTCAATGAGAAAACGGCCTCACTACAAACACGTCACTAGTTAAAACAGACTCAATGAGAAAACGGCCTCACTACAAACACGTCACTAGTTAAAACAGCCTCAATGAAAACGGGCCCTACTACAAACACGTCACTAGTTAAAACAGCCTCAATGAGAAAACGGCCCTACTACAAACACGTCACTAGTTAAAACAGCCTCAATGAGAAAACGACCCTACTACAAACACGTCACTAGTTAAAACAGCCTCAATGAGAAAACGGCCCTACTACAAACACGTCACTAGTTAAAACAGCCTCAATGAGAAAACGGCCCTACTACAAACACGTCACTAGTTAAAACAGTCTCAATGAGAAAACGGCCTCACTATAAACACGTCACTAGTTAAAACAGTCTCAATGAGAAAACGGCCTCACTATAAACACGTCACTAGTTAAAACAGTCTCAATGAGAAAACGGCCTCACTACAAACACGTCACTAGTTAAAACAGCCTCAATGAGAAAACGGCCCTACTACAAACACGTCACTAGTTAAAACAGCCTCAATGAGAAAACGGCCTCACTACAAACACGTCACTAGTTAAAACAGCCTCAATGAGAAAACGGCCTCACTACAAACACGTCACTAGTTAAAACAACCTCAATGAGAAAACGGCCTCACTACAAACACGTCACTAGTTACAATGTAAAACGTACTACAAACACGTCACGGGCCGTATTTCATTCCCTGCCACCTCTTCCCACCAACGACGGGGGCCGATTTGTATTTCATTCCCTGCCACCTCTTCCCACCAGCAGACAACTATACTAACACTGAAATGGAGATATTAGAAACATTCCTCAAATCTTTATGCTATCTAAGTTGCCGAAAAAGGTTCCACAAAATCTAAGTTTTGGTTGTCAGTCTGGTTATAGGCGTTATAATTCAGACCAAAATGGCAACTCGATTTGAAATAAGGATCATACCGAACACTATTCAATGTCACAAGTTATGCTTTCCATAACTGACTTCAAATGTTTCTAGTATTTCAGTTCAAAAGTTTGATTCTTTAGCAAAATAAGAACAGGTGTTCCGGAAATATAAGTAGATCAAGGTCACTCCCAAAGTAATATCTGACGATGTGTGCACGATGTGTGCAGTATTGGAAATCTGGACAAAATACGTGCGCACGGTGTGCGGTTCTATCGTGGTTTATTTAAAGCCAGAAATGGTTTCTGGATACATGCGGGATAGAATTTTTAAAATTTTTTTAAGTATCTGTAGTTATATTCTACCACCAGTTTGCCGTTTAGTTCTATGTAAACCAGACGGGAGTGTGCCTGGTGAAGAGTATGTGTACATATTCGGTAGTCAAAGTAGTCCTGATAGATACAAATGTAATATTTACATTCTGTGTCGCATTCGCCTATATATATATCATTTATACGCCAAATAGTAGTATATGAGACTGTATACTAAATTTACACAGATTCGGTCGGTATAAGAATTTATGAATTTAGTTGTCTCCATGGTAAACAAAACCAGCCTCACTTTCACTTCGGTATCAATATACAACAAAATGAAATATACCAAGTTGTTGGACATAAGTAAGACCTTCATGAAAATAAATAACTTTGCAAAGCTATCAGATTATGACACAACACATCTCTTATCAACATGTAAATTTGCCACAAATTCATTATTATCGCAAAAACATACCAGATACCAATCTGCCCGTCAAAATTATAAATGTAGAATCCGTTACGAACATAATGTCGTGTCTTACTGACAGGCTTGACTTCCCTGTATAATTTACGTGATTGTTCCATTTTCTGAATATTGTACCATTCCACTTCACGACACGTGAGAGTAAATCATTCCTGAAGACACAGTAGACATCCTGTGAAATCTGACTGAGAGCCGCAGTAAACTGCTTTTATTTCAAACGAACGAAAAAATAACGTTATCATCTTATTTCTCAAAAATGCGAAAGTTAACATTTGTAGATCAATAATCAAGTTTTTGTGACTGTACTTTTTCATGCAATTGCTATATATGATGACACAATTGCTATATATGATGACACAATTGCTATATATGATGACACAAAGAACTATATTATTACGGCTGTTCTCAGATTTTTAACTTGCTGACGTCAGTATTTGGTCAGGCGAGAAATTAAAACGACGTATTCCTGGTTTTTGCTTTGTTTGGATTTTTAATAGAATTGCGGGAATATAAATAGAAAGTGTTACATGTAACGGAGGACATTCTATTTATCTTCCACCTGGATTGGCTTTAAACACCATTTGGGAACAATTTCTTGGTTAAAGACACACTCGGAAGTAAGAGTGTGTTGTTTTCAAAGTGCCATATGTTACCAGTCTTGCTGTACAAACACTCCTTTATTTTATCAATAATATACTTTTCTAGTGTATGTAACATTAAATGGACGTCCTTTTTTGTCTTGACAATTAATCATTAAAATCTCACACCATCAGAAAAGAAACGTTATTTTCATTACTTCTGCATTACACTCATTTTGTAAACATAATATATATACCTGTATACAGGTAGGTTTTGTTGCACAAGACACACCACTCGCCAATCTATGAAGTATGAAACTGTACACCAGAAAGACAGAGACAGAGTGAATTGCTATTTCGAAATTATCTAATTACCAATGGGTTTTTTTGATAAAGTCACATGTCATATTTGTAGGCTTCGACATATCACGACCTCCCGATGACACACACACATAACACATGAATTCGCCTCTCACACGTAGGTGTGGTGTCCTTAAAATTGGCTTATCTACAGGAACAAACTGTCACTCTTTGTTGGCTGTTTTTGTTTTCATACGAGGTTGAATTTATTGGAGAGTTTTGTCACAAAGACCTTGGAAAGTTAATTTCACATTCAAATATATTGATAACGCCTTGTCTTTATTGATCAAGTCCATCGTATATATCCACAAGAGAAAGACTCTACATTATCTCGATCCTACAGCAAAACCCACATAGACAGCTTTTCATCAAGCCTGATGAATTCACTATTATGAATTTTCAGTTTCTGGAATAACAACATTCCTGCATCTTCAACGTCTGGTTTCAACATGTTGCATTTGAGTCGATATTCAAGTGCCTATTCCCATTATAACGATTTTCGTGCGAAATGTCGTCAACTTCCGGACAAACCCGTAACAGAGGGTTTTCAAAAAGATGCGGGTTGTTGAAAATAATGGATACGTTTTACGATCGTCATAGTGATCTCATTCAGAAACATGTTGTTGCTTTGTGCGAATTAAAGTTGAACCTGTTTTGCTAGCTTGTTTGCCCGGTGGTTCCACTATTGTATTCATTGTTCTCAGTTTGAGAGCATGAAATTACTTACTTGGATGCCAAGTTTGCATGGCAGATGTCGTAGATGGAGGAGAAGACTCCTACAGAACACCTGGTCCTTGTACTCTATCAGGAATCTCCGTGTTTCTTTTCTTCATTATTCGTCACACTTTTTTTCTTTTGTAATTTTTATTTGAGTTTGGATTATGATTATGTGGACATGTTGGTATATCCTTGTAATTGTTTTTGACCTTTCAGAGAAAATAATTTTAGTTCGAGACTAGATGTAAACATTTCTTATCATATCACCAAGTCGTTTATGTCATTTAAAGCTGTAATCTTCTTTTGCAATGTTGTGAGTAAAGCAGCACACTTGCCAGATCCAATAGATCTTATTCACCGCTGTATAATGACTCTTTATCAAATGAAACTGATTTCACTCGTTCCTTTTAATAGAAAAAAGGAACCATTGTCATATCAGATAAAAGTTTAATTGTTTTCCCCATAAATTGAATTTGATTTTTTATTTTTTGTTTTAAGGTCGCTATGAAGTCGAACTCGTCTCCTTCTGTCTGTATTTTTTTTCAGGAGTCTCCGTGTAAATTTTTTCGTTTCTTCAAATTTTTCTCTAGTTGTATTAAATTTGAGTTTGGATTATGATTGTTGGTTGATATTTTCTGTTTGTTATTGTTGCTAATGCACCAACCTTTCCTAACATGCCATGGCTAAATTAATATCAGAGGGGTTAAGACATTAGGCTTTCTGGTAGGCTACTAGAAGTTGTTATAAATTGGTAGCAATCATAGAGTATAACAAACAGATTCCCAACAGCTCAAACTCAAATTCGATGAAACTAGGCCAAAACGTTGGTAACATAAAGAGGTAATAGAGACCTCCTGAACAAGTACAAGGAGACTGAGACCAGAGGCTATTGAAGTGTAAGCGGCTTTCAACTTTTGTACATCATGAAAACATGGAAGTTCATGATCAGGGTTCAAAATGTTTATCCTATTAATAAATCGTCTCTATGCGTTTCGAATGCGATTGTAAAATAAGGAAAGTATACATTCGGCGTATTTTCTGTTCATACACCAGCTATGACAAGACTTGGATATATTTTATAATCAAAATATCATTTTGGATACATAAAACATTTTGATAGCAACCACCATGTGTATTAAGCTCTTGGTCCGTTATGAACTTGTGAATATTGATAAAAGTAACCTTATTTTTTATCATTGCTTCAGAGGTCAAGGTTATCGAGCTGGAGGTCTTTGAAGTTGATACCAAATTGGAATGAGTTGCACTTCTCGATAACAGCAGATTTCATTCAATTTATTTCTTATAAAGACTATGTTTTCTTTCTGACATTGCTCTTCCGTAAGTATGCATATCTTTAATTTCTTTATTTCTAAATGTGTAAATATTGTATAAAAGGGACACAAGTGACGAGCATACAATCCTAAATGTGTGAATATTGTATAAAAGGGACACAAGTGGCGAGCATACAATCCTAAATGTGTAAATATAGTACAAAAGGGACACAAGTGACGAGCATACAATCCTAAATGTGTGAATATTGTATAAAAGGGATACAAGTGACGAGCATACAATCCTAAATGTGTAAATATAGTATAAAAGGGACACAAGTGGCGAGCATACAATCCTAAATGTGTAAATATAGTACAAAAGGGACACAAGTGACGAGCATACAATCCTAAATGTGTAAATATAGTATAAAAGGGACACAAGTGACGAGCATACAATCCTAAATGTGTAAATATAGTATAAAAGGGACAAAAGTGACGAGCATACAATCCTAAATGTGTGAATATAGTATAAAAGGGACAAAAGTGACGAGCATACAATCCTAAATGTGTAAATATTGTATAAAAGGGACACAAGTGACGAGCATACAATCCTAAATGTGTGAATATTGTATAAAAGGGATACAAGTGACGAGCATACAATCCTAAATGTGTGAATATTGTATAAAAGGGATACAAGTGATACAATCCTAAATGTGTGAATATTGTATAAAAGGGACACACAGTACAATCCTAAATGTGTGAATATAAAAAGGGATTATTTGGCTTTATCCTTCGTATCGTTTTCATAGTTAAAGATTTTGGTTACAATTCAAATTTTGAGAAATTTACATATAAAAAAAACACACTATTACGTCGACATTTGATTTCGTTGATGAAATAAGCTAAATAAATCCACTTTTGTGTATTTTCGTGTTGTTGACTTAAAAAATTAGTTAAAAGTCATGACTTCAAATATTTCTGACATTGCTTTTCTTTCTTTTGTCAACGTAGTTCATTTTCACGATGGCTGGAACAACAATGCAAAGGTAAATATTTACAATTTTTTAAACTTCATTTTGAAGTTTTCTTGAGTGTTTTACAGATTAAATTTTCCTTATTTTCATTCTATCAAAAGCACTCAGGAAAAATATTAAACGTTGTCATTGGAAATAAATAAACTCAATATTTTTTACCAGCCATGAACATACACAGCTCATTCGCATATAGCCAATAATTTTACAAGCATACCCGCACCAAATCGTATCATCAAATGTCTACATGTAGACACACATTCACTACTAATCTGTTATATAAAAATCACTAACCGCCCGCACGTGCTTAAACACAACATTAAGTCCGCACAGCCTCATACTCATCCTCATGCATAAAGCCTCACTTCCGTAAACTGTCGTAAAACTCGTCACCTGTAAATAAGCAGAAGTCATTCCAATACACCCTTACCATACCGTCACACTCCAGCGATTCCAATACACCCTTACCATACCGTCACACTCCAGCGATTCCAATACACCCTTACCATACCGTCACACTCCAGCGATTCCAATACACCCTTACCATACCGTCACACTCCAGCGATTATAATACACCCTTACCATACCGTCACACTCCAGCGATTCCAATACACCCTTACCATACCGTCACACTCCAGCGATTCCAATACACCCTTACCATACCGTCACACTCCAGCGATTATAATACACCCTTACCATACCGTCACACTCCAGCGATTCCAATACACCCTTACCATACCGTCACACTCCAGCGATTATAATACACCCTTACCATACCGTCACACTCCAGCGATTATAATACACCCTTACCATACCGTCACACTCCAGCGATTCCAATACACCCTTACCATACCGTCACACTCCAGCGATTCCAATACACCCTTACCATACCGTCACACTCCAGCGATTCCAATACACCCTTACCATACCGTCACACTCCAGCGATTCCAATACACCCTTACCATACCGTCACACTCCAGCGATTCCAATACACCCTTACCATACCGTCACACTCCAGCGATTCCAATACACCCTTACCATACCGTCACACTCCAGCGATTCCAATACACCCTTACCATACCGTCACACTCCAGCGATTCCAATACACCCTTACCATACCGTCACACTCCAGCGATTCCAATACACCCTTACCATACCGTCACACTCCAGCGATTCCAATACACCCTTACCATACCGTCACACTCCAGCGATTCCAATACACCCTTACCATACCGTCACACTCCAGCGATTCCAATACACCCTTACCATACCGTCACACTCCAGCGATTATAATACACCCTTACCATACCGTCACACTCCAGCGATTATAATACACCGTTACCATACCGTCACACTCTAGCGATTATAATACACCCTTACCATACCGTCACACTCCAGCGATTCCAATACACACTTACCATACCGTCACACTCTAGCGATTCCAATACACCCTTACCATACCGTCACACTCCAGCGATTCCAATACACACTTACCATACCGTCACACTCTAGCGATTCCAATACACCCTTACCATACCATCACACTCCAGCGATTCCAATACACACTTACCATACCGTCACACTCTAGCGATTCCAATACACCCTTACCATACCGTCACACTCCAGCGATTCCAATACACCCTTACCATACCGTCACACTCCAGCGATTCCAATACACCCTTACCATACCGTCACACTCCAGCGATTCCAATACACCCTTACCATACCGTCACACTCCAGCGATTATAATAGAACGTTACCATACCGTCACACACTAGCTATTATATACACCCTTACCAAACCGTCACACTCCAGCGATTCCAATACACCCTTACCATACCGTCACACTCCAGCGATTCCAATACACCCTTACCATACCGTCACACTCCAGCGATTCCAATACACCCTTACCATACCGTCACACTCTAGCGATTCCAATACACCCTTACCATACCGTCACACTCTAGCGATTCCAATACACCCTTACCATACCGTCACACTCTAGCGATTCCAATACACCCTTACCATACCGTCACACTCTAGCGATTCCAATACACCCTTACCATACCATCACACTCCAGCGATTCCAATACACCCTTACCATACCGTCACACTCTAGCGATTCCAATACACCCTTACCATACCGTCACACTCCAGCGATTATAATACACCCTTACCATACCATCACACTCCAGCGATTATAATACACCCTTACCATACTATCACACTCCAGCGATTATAATACACCCTTACCATACCATCACACTCCAGCGATTATAATACACCCTTACCATACTATCACACTCCAGCGATTATAATACACCCTTACCATACCATCACACTCCAGCGATTATAATACACCCTTACCATACCATCACACTCCAGCGATTTCTATAACCTTACCATACCATCACACTCCAGCGATTCCAATACACCCTTACCATACCATCACACTCCAGCGATTCCTTACCATACCATCACACTCCAGCGATTATAATACACCCTTACCATACCATCACACTCCAGTGATTCCAATACACCCTTACCATACCATCACACTCCAGCGATTATAATACACCCTTACCATACCATCACACTCCAGCGATTCCCCTAAGCATACCATCACACTCCAGTGATTTCTATAACCCTTACCATACCATCACACTCCAGCGATTCCAATACACCCTTACCATACCATCACACTCCAGCGATTCCAATACACCATAACCATACCATCACACTCCAGCGATTCCAATACCCCATAATCATACCGTTACACTCCTGCGATTTCTATAACCCTTACCATACATCACACTCCAGCGATTTCTATAATCCTTACCGTACTATCACACTCCAGCGATTATAATACACCCTTACCATACCATCACACTCCAGCGATTTCAATACACCTTTACCATACCATCACACTCCAGCGATTTCTATAACCCTTACCATACATTACACTCCAGCGATTTCTATAACCCTTAGCATACCATCACACTCCAGTGATTCCAATACACCATTACCATACCGTCTCACTCCAGTGATTCCCCTTACCACACCGTCTCACTCAAGCGATTTGAAGACATGCTTATGAAATGCACACGCACACACACTCTAACAAACACGCATGTGTGTATGTGTTACATGAAGTTGGGGGTCATTTAGAGGCGGGGTCTCCTTGTAGCATATGGTTTGTGGCTACCACAATAAACAACATATAGAAAACCCGCCGTATTTTATATAAAGTTAATGAGGAATAAAATGTCTTGTCCAGTAAACACCCATGACAGAGCAGCGTGTTACGTGATATAGTCCTCAAACACAAATATACTGCGTACTGATACATACGAACACCATAAGTCAACATGGTAGGTTTCCTATTCAGAAACATCTTATTTTTTTTAAATACTGTCCCAAAATTCAAATATAGTCGAACGTCATTATATGGAAGTCGGCAGGACCATGGAAATACTGCGAATTCGATTGATGTGAGCTCAGATATTTAATGTGAAATTTGGAATTCTTCGAAGTAAACTGGTTCTTATATAAAACATCAAACATGAAAATAAAAGGAATGAAATCTAGTTTGATTAGGGGAAACAGTGCATGTCATGTCAAAAAAGAAACGGTTAAAACCAAGTTATATTTTATCAATAAATCTTTCTCATCAATAGAAATTTAATCTAAGCTGAGTAGATCAATTTTTGTTTTTAATAAATTTATAAAGAAAAAAAAATTATCTGTATATTAATTTGCACATCGACAACAATAAATCTCAAGTTTATATACATTACAGTAATTTGATATTTTGTTTTGACTTTTTTTGGCTTTAATTATGTTGTTTTCAGATGTATGAACATCTAGTGCCCGTTCCCCGAGTAAACATCGACAATATGGAAGAGCTCAAAGATGGCATAACCTTCGTCACAGCGTATTTCGATCTTGGCACAATGAAAAAGGGATTTCAAAATAACAATTATCAAGGGTTTAACACATATAAAAATTGGATAAATGCATATTCGCAATTCAATAATTCAGTAATTTTTTTCACGGATTCTATCGAGATGGAGACGTTGTTTCGTGATCTTAGAAAAAGATTTCCACTTTATATGACACGCATTATAAAAATAGATAAAAACAAGCTATGGTCATTCAAATTAGCCCCACATATCAAAAAAGTATTTGCCGAACCATGGTATCCGAAATTCCCTCCAAACACTATCAATGAAAATTATTCCTGTGCTATGCATGCCAAATATGATCTGCTGGAAATTGTGATTAATGAGAGGCAGTACAAAACCAAACATTTAGCATGGATTGATGCAGGATATTTTCGTGATAAAGAGACAAAAGTATTTTCATTAGAAACGCCTCCAGATCTCAAGAAAGACCACATAGCCTTCATGCAAATCGACGAATTTCAGGAAAGTTTAACACCTGAGGATATAATACACACGAATATGGTGTGGATAGCTGGAGGGATGTTCCTAGGCCAGCCTGATTATCTGTTACCATTTATTTCCGACTACAAATCTGCTGTTAACAGTCTAATTACAAAGAGGCTGATGGGTACGGACCAACAGGTCTTATATATTATGTACTCCAACTACAAAGATATACTTGTACGTGTACCTATCCAAACGTACTACCACAAATGTAAGTGTGATTGGTTTTTTCTTGGTAATCTCTGTCGCTTCATATGGGAAAGGAAACAATGGCGTCGTCCATCGTTAGCTTACTTTGACGCCATGACTCTGTGAGTAGTTATTTTACTATGGCCAATTGGTCAAGAGTCATCCTCAATACTCCAGAGGTTACGATCAATTTCGCTTACTGCACACCAAGAACTTTTCCTGGCAAAACTCAACAAACCCTAAAAAAGCTCAACCATGGTTTTAAATATTGAACAACTTCACAATGTCGTTCACTTAAGATTAAAGAAAGACTCTTTTTAATAAGAACTTTACGTGAAATTATTTAACGTTCTTCTATATTGCTGATGAAGTCCTCAAACATGACTTCATACAACAACATATGGTAATGATGAATTTGAAAGGACAATCTCGTGACATTGACATATAATCATGTTATTGCTGTCTCGATCTACTGTTGATCTGCAACAAGCATATTAACATAGCAATGTCACGCGCCGATCGTTCATAAATTGTTCATACATGATGTGCCATTCTGCGCAAATCCGCACTGTGCAATATCTAGACACAAAATGATTGGCTGACATGACGGATTGAAAATGTTAATAGCTAGATAGCTATCACAGCCGTACCAAGATTGTTAGGTGAATTATAGAATTAATTTTAAATCGACACTTTTCGGACCCTGCATTGATGATTTTTTTCTACTAGATACATGTATCAAGTTTCAAGCATCAGAGAGTGACGAGTAGTAGTGCTTCGGTCAACAAAAATTGTACGAAAATAACTTACTATTACTGGAGGCTGTTAGAGTTGTATCAAAACATCTCTATTTAGTGGATAAAGCGATAAATATGTGTGTGGACTTATAAATCACAGATTATGTGAAATCACTGTAAATAACCACAAGGATGAAGAACAGAATCTCATTGATTTCTATGTCGCTTATGTTTCAGGATTTCGTGCTCTATGCATTTACCATAAGACCTGTCTTACACTCAATTTGCTTTCTGTGAGGTTTCAACATCTTAAACTTTTTATGTGTATGTTTTTGTACTTTTGCGTTTTTGACTCTAACTGTCGATGAGTGATTGACTTCTGAAACAAAAAATACAAGAGTTTTAAAAAGTTCGTGTTTCGAAATGTGATACGTATGATCATTTTTGTTTTTGTCACAGCGAAGTATCGGATAGACTGAACACTTTTTTGATAGACTGAACACTTTTCTGATATAATGAACACTTTCTCTGATATACTGAACACTGTTCTGATATACTGAACACTGTTCTGATATACTGAACACTTTTCTGATACACTGAACACTTTTCACATAGATTAAACACAGTTTAACCATGTTTTATTTATATCTTTTTTATCTGTACATATAACATATTTATAGCATATTTATACATGTCTGGTTGCTTTGGAGCTTTAGCACGTGATTGTATACATATAATTAAATAATACAATAAGAAATGTAAATGCTTGTTTTTGTTTATTTGTTTAGGTTTTTTGGGGTCTCTCTATCTCTCTCGCTCTCTCTCTATCTCTCTCGCGCTCTCTCTCTCTCCCTCCCCCCTCCTCTCTCTCTCTCTCTCTCTCTCTCTCTCTCTCTCTCTCTCTCTCTCTCTCTCTCTCGCGCGCGCTCTCTCTCTCTCCCACCCCCTCTCTCTCTCTCTCTCTCTCTCTCTCTCTCTCTCTCTCTCTCTCTCCCTCTCTCTCTCTCTCTCTCTCTCTCTCTCTCTCTCTCTCTCTCTCTCTCTCTCTCTCCCACCCCCTCTCTCTCTCCCTCCCACTCCCCCCTCTCTCTCTTTCTCTCTCTCTCTCTCTCTCTCTCTCTCTCTCTCTCTCTCTCTCTACTATTTTTTATAATGCAGTTTAAACAAGTAATAATTAAAACGGGACCATAAAATATGTCTTCCACAAACATAGTGTTGAATTAATATTGATCAACAATCGAACAATTTTACAACAGAAGTCGTCTGTGTATGGCTGTCACCCAGTAAGATAAGACGAAGGATATCATCGTTGTGTTTGTGGTGTCAGACAACACTTATGTCACCTGTCCAGATTCGATTTTCATCAAACTTGGACAATATGTAAATTCTGATCAATGAGAAACTTCCCCGGCGGCCGTCTCATTAAATCACATGTACCTCATCAATGTCTTACTGATGTCAAACAAAGGATTTTTTTTTTCAAACGATATCTAAATTTTGGCAAAATCTTTCCAAATCAGATGCCACGGTTGATAGGTTAGATCGAAACATGAAAAGACGCCCCCTTGTATTTGTAAATATTTGTGTTGTAACACGGCTCCGAACACACACAATGCATTCATTTAGTGGATAGGTGCCAATGGGAGCTTCTTTGTGTCTATCATCGATAAGTTATAATTTTTGCATATAAATGCCTTCTTCAGGTGTTATACTAAATATCGCTCTTTTTTATAATTCTACTGCATTTTATAATTCAAAAGCTGTAACATGTAGGAATTAAAACTGATTGAATCCTTAACACATGGTTCTCACATACAAAAAGTATATCATCAGTAATAGTCACCAGAAGGCACAAATTGGCACCCATCCTCTCTTCATTATCATAACAGACGGAAGATATTGATTTAAACATATCTTATTTACATCAAATATATACAAGGGGATTATGTACAAGAAAATTATATGTAGCTCTTTCCGCAATGTATGGAACTGTTGTATGATGATCATGAAATTGAATTAATGGTTTGGCTGATACTGTATCTACACAATGTAATACCTTGTCTAGGTGAAATGGTATTTATCACATGTGTGTCTTTTGTACGATTCTCTGAGCACTAATTGTACTTCAAACATTGATAAAGAATTAAGATACGAATGTAACTGTAGGACAGCCATGTCGTCAGTGACGCATGAAGCCACGATATCTAATGATCGTGATTGAGATTGTACTGGTAACGGGCAACTCGTACAATAACACTGATTGTTCAACACAGGTATTGATATGATCTGAAAAGACTGCTAAATTTAGATCAAGTGGCAGAACCCAAAACCTTCCTCACTAAAGGCCAAAAGCAAGGTAGGGTGAAGGGAGACATTTGTGTTTTGGATGTCAGATCGATTTTCAGAGGGAAACATGCGTGGTACCATTGAAAAATTGAGATCCTGGCCCCAGTGTCATAAAAATATATTTGTCAATCAGTTTGTTATTTACTCTATGATTAAAACCAATAAGAATGGTCTGACACTTTATCGCAAACTGTTAAAAAACGACACTTCCACAAACCTACAAAGTTATGTGACCGGTTTAAATACATTTCCACAAGAGATCCATTTTGAGAACAATTATTCTTGGCTGACTTTAACACAGATGACCTATAAATTTGTTTCGATATTTTGAGACGTATTATGTCATCAAATGTTTAAAATCACCAACGTGTGACTGCTTAGCGTTTGCAGATCAGAATACGTACATGTGCTCTTTTTCAATGATTATTTTCAACAATTTATACCCATAGCTTCACAAGGACGAAACTTATGAAATTTATAGAAATATGAGGCTAGTATACCCTTTAGCTAGAACTTGAAATTTTGATTTTCGGTATTCATCTCTAGGGTTTCTGTCCTTAGCATCACTGACATTCCTACAAGGACGAAATAGATGTATGATGTAGCATCACTGACATTCCTACAAGGACGAAATAGCTGTATGATGTAGCATCACTGACATTCCTACAAGGACGAAATAGCTGTATGATGTAGCATCACTGACATTCCTACAAGGACGAAATAGATGTATGATGTAGCATCACTGACATTCCTACAAGGACGAAATAGATGTATGATGTAGCATCACTGACATTCCTACAAGGACGAAATAGATGTATGATGTAGTTTATTATTTGACTATGCGTTATATCATATTATATTTCTATCATAAGGGGCAGTGATGTTGTGTAGGTTGTACAACCAGCATTAAGACAACAGAAATTGCTAAACTAACAGATGCATTAAATATTATATTTCAATTCTCAAAACAATTATCTAGTCTCCAAGAGCAAGCTGAACAACATCCCGATCACCTAGATCGTGTTATGATTCTTACGATTCCTTATCCTCAATGATAAAAATGGAAGTTAATCTACATCTGGAATCTGGTAACAAAGTCTTAATTCAGAGTCAAAATCTTTGAAACAATATGTGAACAAAAAGATAGAAAACAAGAGTATTCACTGTGTTTAGCAGTTCTTGACTTAAACTTTCCATCTTGGTTATTCCAACTGTTCAGGAAACGGTTACTGTTCTGCTGTGTTTCGCTATTTATAAATGTTCTATATATAAATCTTTCTTTTTTAGGCATCTACACCAATGATGACGGCCTCTACATGTAGAAAGATGTCGTTTCATTTTGAAACTTCGCAGATTTGGAACAATTCGGGTTAGCTTTTTCACGCGATGTGTACGACTCTTTAAACGAATTATTTTCACAAGAATTGTAGTTTCTGTTACTGTACCTGACGCCATTGTCTGCGTTTTAAGTTTCTTCTTGTAAAACCAGTAAGATAAACAAGCGTAAATTTTAAAGGACATTTTCAAGGTTTTCTAATTTATAGACTGTAACTATGTGATAAACAGGGAAATGGGTATTTAAAAGTACTGTTATTGAATGATACAATTGTTTGTCAAAGCTCTTTACCCCAGTGTTATTAAGTGTTAGGTCAATTAACAAATCTTTTGGATCTTGAGTAAGAAGCAGATCATGTGAAAAGATTACCCTCAGTGGACAATACAAACAGACACCGACAAAAATAATTGACGAGTTAATGGTAGAATGATACCTCATAATTATGGACTGAAATGTGTCCGCACGGAATGCTTTGTCTACTGTCGGCCTTTTGTTATCAATAATTGTGTATGTGTGGTGTTTACACTCATTTTGCGTCAAGAGATAAATGGTCAGTAAGATTTCTTCAGAGGGGGATTTGACGTGATCTTGAGTTGGTATAGTTAGGGGAAGTCTTTTTAATCTATCTCTGGTTGTTTATATTCACTTCACGGATCACTGACAGTTTGTTTCCTCTACGTTGAGAAAGCCTAATATTTCCATTATAC